AAAAAAAAAAAAAAAAAAGAATGAATAAACAGGGCAGCGCCTGTGGCTCAGTGGGTAGGGCACTGGCCCCATATGCTGAGGGTGGTAGGTTCAAACCCGGTCCTGGCCAAACTGCAACACAAAAATAGCCAGGCATTCTGGCAAGCACCTGTAGTCCCAGCTACTTGGGAGGCTGAGGCAAGAGAATCGCCTAAGCCTAGGAGTTGGAGGTTGCTGTGAGCTGTGACGCCATGGCACTCTACCAACGGCAACAAAGTGAGACTCTGTCTCTAAACATTAAAAACAAATAAACAAACAAAACTAGCTGCTTCACCAATCATCTTAAAAGTTCCCAGATTTGTGATACAAAGAACAATATTATTGTTTTTTTTTTTTTTTTTTTTTTTTTTAGATAGTCTCACTTTGTTACCCTCGGTAGAGTGCTGTGCTGTCACAGCTGACAGCAACCTCTAACTCTTGGGCTTATGCGATTCTCTTGCCTCAGCCTCCCGAGTAGCTGAGACTATAGGCGCCCGCCACAACACACAGCTGTTTTTTTTTTTCTGTTGCAGTTTGGCCAGGGCTGGGTTCAAACCTACCACCCTTGGTATATGGGGTCAGTGCCCTACCCAGTGAGCTACAGGGTGCCGCCCAGAACAATGTTATTTTAATATAAATCATCAGTAACAATTTAGGAATTGCCTCTTCTTTATTTCTTAAAGACCCACTTGTACCAGCTGCTAAATCCGAGTGTTTATTTATGGCAACTCGAATCTATGCTCTCTTCATGCTCTGGACTTGAATATACTTCATCAAATTTTCTGAATCTCATTATTTATTAATTTCTTTTTAAAAATATATTATTTATTTATTTGTAAAGATGAGGTCTCAGTCTACAGCCCAGGGCTTGTAGCCTTGAACTCTTGGCCTCAAGGGATCTTCCTGTCTCAGCTTCCTGAGTAGTTGGGACTACTAGCCACCATGCCCAGCAAATTCTTGAATTTTTTTGTTTTTTAAATTGAGACAGAGTCTCACTTTGTTGCCTTCGGTAGAGTGCCATGGCGTCATAGCTCACAGCAACTTCCAACTCTTGGGCTCAAGTGATTCTCTTGCCTCAGCTTCCCGAGTACCTGGGACTTCAGGTCCCCACCACAATGCCTGGCTATTTTTTTTTTTTTTTTAGCAGGCCTGGGCTGGGTTCAAACCTACCAGCCTGGGTGCATGTGCCAGCACCCTACCCACTGAGCAACAGATGCTGCCTTAATTCTTGTATTTTGTTTTTGGCCGGGACTGGGTTTGAACCTGCCACCTCCAGCATATGGGGCCAGCGCCCTACCCCTTTGAGCCACAGGTGCCACCCAATTCTTGTATTATTTGTGGAGACAGGGTCTTGCTGTGTTGCCCAGGCTCATCTGGAATTCCTGGACTTAAGCAATCCTCCCTCCTCAGCCTCCTGAGTCACTGGGATTACAGGTGTGAGTACCACCCGTGACATGAATCTTATTATTTGACAAATGCATCTCACTGAGTGTGGCACATAAAGAATACTCTACACAGAGATTTTCCGAAGATCCAATCTCCCTCTTTCTCATAGTAATACAAATTTTATCTATGTGGCTTATGGCCACACGGAATAAATACTATATTTCCCAACTGCCCCTGCAGGTGGTGCAGCCACGTGGCTAGGTTCTGGACAATAGAAAGTGAAAGGCTTGGCGCCTATAGCTCAACCGGCTAAGGCGCCAGCCATGTACACCTAAGGTGGCGGGTTCGAATCCCCAGCCCGGACCCGCCAAACAACAATGACGGCTGCAACCAAAAAATAGCCGGGCGTTGTGGCGGGCGCCTGTGGTCCCAGCTACTTGGGAGGCGGAGGCAGGAGACTCGCTTGAGCCCAGTAGTTGGAGGTTGCTGTAAGCTGTAATGCCATGGCACTCTACCCAGGGGGACAGCTTGAGGCTCTGTCTAAAAAAAAAAAAAAGAAAGTGAAAGGAAATAATTGTAACTTCTGAGCTGAGTTTCTTTACAGGGTAGCCTTTTCCCTTTTTCCCTTTTCCCTTCATTGGCAAGAATGGGGTTGTTAAGGTTAGGATGACCATGTTTGGTTACCAGGTAAGAGCAGGGAGTTGTCTTAGAAAGTGAATGAAGCCCACACTCTAGGGAAGATGGAGCAACAAGATGGCAGGAGCCTGGGCTCTGACGAGACTTCACAGAGCAAAGCTGTCTTACCTATACTTCATGGGAGTGAGAAATAAACTCTCCTCTCCACCCTATTTAGGTCCCAGTTATTTTAGATCTCTCTGTTTCACATAGTCATTATAGATGATTTTTCTCCTTGCCCCCCACCCTATACTTCCCAGTTCTGCAACTCCTCCCCCATCCACTTCTCAGGGCCCATGACTCACTCATCCTCCTCCTCTGCCCCCTGAAGCCTCTGTTCCTTCCGCTGCTGCCGACAGATGAGAATGCCTGTGGCGGCCACAGCAGTAGCAATAATGGCAGCAATGATGCCTCCAATGATGCCACCTGTGGCCCCTGCACCTGCTGTGTTGGGGGATTCTGCAAGGAGAGGGACAACATGAGGAGGTCTAGAGGAGGAAGACAAAGCTCCCCATTTCATGCTACCCATCCCCCAAGTCATCATCCACATGTTTGCTTCCTTTCCCATAAGCAAAGAACATTCTTTCATTCAACTAATCCCTACTGCACGTGATTAAGGAGCATTTGTTGGGTGTCGGTCATTGGGAGATAGGGGTGGAGAACAAAACACAGAAATTCTCTGCTCTCATGGATCATGTGCTGGTTGAGCAGAGCAGCTGACAATGAACAAATAAATAGAATAAATAACAGGCCAGGTGAAAAGAAGTGATAGAGTAAACAAATATAGTGTGGCAGGTGACAAGGAAGTGACAGAGGGGCCCCCAAAGGCAGTCAAAGAGGGTCTGTGAGATGACATTTGAGCAAAGACCTGAAAGAGATGTTGGGGGTGAGCCATGACAACTGAGAATGGGCTCAGTGCCTGAAACTCAAAGACTAGGGCTGAAACTCAAAGACTAGGGCGCCGGCCACATACACCAGGTCTGGTAGGTTCAAACCCAGCCTGGGCCTGCCAAACAACAATGAAACTACAATAATAATAATAACAAAAAAAGCTGGGCACGTGTAGTCCCAGCTACTCAGGAGGCTGAGGCAAGAGAATTGCTTAAGTCCAAGAGTCTGAGGTTGCTGTGAGCTGTGACTCCATGGCACTCTACTTAGTGTGATATAGTGAGTCTCTATCTCAAAAAAAAAAAAAAAAGAGAACCAAGAATGTGAGAATGTTGTAGGCAGAAAGAACAGCCATGCAGCCAATGAAAAGACTTTGAGGAAGCCTGTTTTTTATTTTTTTTTTTAGACACAGAGTCTCACTTTGTCACTCTCAGTAGAGAGCTATGGCATCACAGCTTCTAGCAACCTCCAGCTCTTGGGTTTAGGTGATTCTCTTGCTTCAGCCTCTCAAGTAGCTGGGACTACTGGCGCCCACCACAACGCCTGGCTTTTTTTGGTTATAGTTTGGCTGGGGCTGGGTTTGAACCCACCACCCTCAGAATATGGGGCTGGCACCCTAATCACTGAGTCACAGGTGCTGCCCTGAAGCCTTGTTTTTTAAGGAAAAGCAGGGACACCAGGTGCCAGGGGCAGAGTGGGATGAGAGAGGGAGGTGCTAAAAGGCAGAGAATTGGGGGGAATTCTGGAATTGGAAAGAGAACCCCTCACTTATTGCTGGGAATGGAGTCTTGTCCAACTTAACAGGAAAAGGGGTCAGATCCTCACTCTCCAGGGCCTCCTTTGAGGCATTCCCCTTTCCATTTTTCCCATCTGCTGTTCCTTTTTTGGTTTGTTTCTTTTTTTGAAACAGTCTCAGACTCACCCTGGGTAGAGTTCTGTGCCGTCATAGCTCACAGTAACCTCAAGCTCTTGGGCTCAAGCAATCCTCCTGCCTCAGCCCCTGAGTAACTGGGACTACAGGTGCTTGCCACAATGCCCAGCTAGTTTTTCTGTTTTAGTAGAGACAGGCTCTCACTCTTGCTCAGCCTGGCCTTGAACTCCTGAGCTCAAGCGATCTAACCACCTTGACCTCCCAGAGTGCTAGGACTACAGATGTGAGCCACTGTGCCTGGCCTCCGTTTACCTTTCCCAATGGAAAAGTAATTGGAGTGATTACCTGTTTACTTGGCAAGTTCCATACTAGATGCTGAGTCCGAGGGCTGGCATATAAGCGGGGAGTTTGCTGGATGTGTAAGGAGGGCCCTACATGGGCACTCAAGGGCCCGATGTACCCAGGGTACATAAAATCCTCCACCCCTACCCTCCCCACTCTGCCAGGGGAGGGGTAGGGAGTGTAGGTGAAGTGGGGGAAACAGACAATAAACAAGTGAGGAGTCAAGAGGCAACCCACATGTCAACACCCCAACTCAGGTGAGGAGGGAAGCTTGCAAGAGGTCGATGTCTGTATCCCTGGAATATCTGATCCCTACAGCTCCGGTTCCGCAGCCTGGCATCCTTCAGAGTGTTGGGGAATAGTAGAGTGATTGCTGTTTGGTCTGTGCACACACATTTTCATCCTAAAAACAGTTATTTCTGTTGCTGTTATGGGCTGTGCGCCCCCAGAAGGGCAGGGCTGGATTTGCACAGGTCATCTCTATGACCCTAGTGTCACCTGGCACAGGGCAGCATCCAGAGTAAGTGGAAGTCAATGCTTGTTGAAGAAATGAACTTCTTAAGCCCCTCCTGGCAACTCAGCCTGCACGAAGGATTTCACATCCTCACTGGACCCTAGAACAGCCTGAGCCCAGTGCTGGAGAGAACAGAGGTGACTTGGGATTAAAGCCTGCCCCTTTCAATGCCCCTCACTGAGTCGGGGGAACTCTAGGGCCTCCTTGGTCTTTGGTTATCTAGCTGGGGAGAAGGGAGGGGTGTGGAGCTGCTGCTTCTCTCTCTGAATCATCAAAACCCCCCTCGGTGGAGCCCAAGAGTCAAGTTAGGGGAAGGAGGACAGGAGAGGCCACAGAGTGGTTGCAGAGGGTGGGGCTTTCCTGTGTCCTCAGCAACCTGAGGGGGTCAGTTCTGAGCAGTCTCCAGAGGAGGGATCCCCCACCTGTGGCCCTCCCAACCGCTCAGGGCCAAGGAACCTGCCAAGCCCCTGCTGCCCCTGACCCAAGGTCCAGGGAACTCAGCAGGCCTGTCTGGCCACTGGATCCAGGAAGACAGACTCTGTCCTGGGACCAGGAGTGCAAATGCCCCAGCCTCTAAGCCCCAACTCCCAAGACCTAATTCCTAGTCCCACCAGCCTTGGGTTCTTGGGCATCAAATGTGTCCTTCAAGGACCCCAGTGGTCTGAGCCCTCAGCCTTCCTGGGTCTAAGACCCACCAGGCTCCCATTCCCTGGGGCCCAGGGTTCAGTTCTTCCCAAGCTCTGAGACCTAGCAGTCTCTGTTGCACCCACTCTTTCCCCAGGACCCAAGGAGGGGTCTGATATATTACAAGACACCCCCAGTGTTTTCCTCCAAGGCATTTATTAACTCCTGAGTGTCGTGGGGCAGGGGGCAGGTTGGAGCCCAACATAAGTCTTTGGGGGTGGGGGTCCTTCCTGGATCCCACTACTGAGGTCCCCCAAGCGCTCCTTCCCCATGCCGCCCTGGAGACAGAAGTCCAGTGTGTGATTGCACCTCCTCCAAATCCCAAGAAAGTGGGAGGTAGCATTCCAACTCCAGTGTCATCCGGACAAACAAGTCCAACCAGTCTGGAACCCTTTGCTGGCCTGGTTGTGGCCGGCAGGGGGAGGGCAGGAAAGTCTGGGCCCAGCTCTGTCTCTGTCTTCCGGTCACACATAAACAGCCCGCCGTGAGATGAGAGAGCCATCCAGCTGCGACTCCATGTCATCCTCCAGCGCCGGGGGTGGAGGCAACATAAGGCCTTCCTCTGCCTTTTTCTCTTCCTCCTCCTCCTCCTCTTCCTTGGCTTCTGGCCTCATGGGTCCAGGGACTACTGGCGTCCAGAAGATGGGGCCCCCATTCCCAAACACCTGAGTTTTCGGATCGTAGGATCCCCTGATGTCTCCTCCTCCTCCTCCTTCTCCAGGGCTCTTCCTCTTCCTCCTCACCCTCAGCAGGATGAAGGCCAAGGACCCCCCAGCCAGAAGCAGCAGCACCAGCAGTGTCCCCCCCACGGCCCCCCACACCAGTTGACCTGAGTCTCGGGACAAGGCCCGGGGGGTGTCTGAGGAGAGAGAGGAGGGGTGAGAGAAAGAGAAAAAGGGAAACGAGGTCACAGAGGTCATGAAGACAGATTGAGGGGTGGGGAGCCGGGGAGCCGGACGCAGGGGGCATGACTCTGCCTGGGCAAAAGAATATAGAAAGAGGAGGAGGAGGAGGGAAGGCAGAGCCCATCCACCCCTTGATATAGGCTGGGCACTTTGTGCCACGAGGGGTTGCCTACTGGTGCCTCCCAGATATGTGCCCTCACATCTGCACAGTATATCTTCAAATATTGCTAGCCCACATTTCAAAAATCAGGCAATTTCATCTAAGAATCCAGACTTCTCTCAGGGGGAAAGGAAATAAGATCTGGCAATTCTAGACTCTCATCTCCACTTGGGGATTGGCTATAACTGGGTGAAAGCTGGAAGTTTGGAATAGAGATATGGCCACTGGGTCACTTGTGGGGATCCCCTCTGGACACGCTGTGGGACCTCCCCCAAACTCCAAGGTCAGGGTCACAGAATCTTCGGGCAGAGGACAGCAGATTTGAGTGTGCGGCCATCTGATCTTAGGGCTCTTTGTTCTATGGGAGCCTCCGGGTCATTCCTCCCTATGGAACAGCTGGGAGAACCTGGTTGGAATGATGTGGTGTCCTCCTCTCTGGGCGGTGCACCCCCAGCATGTAAAATGGGGCTCATAAATCCCACTGTCCCGGCTTCCTTAGTGCTCCCTGAAGTGGGTTAGGCAGGTGGTAGGGGGAGCATTTATGGGACGTGAAGAGAAGCCAGGGAGACAGGGAGGGGGCTCCTGGGCCCCAAACCAGCACAATGAGATGCTATCCCGCACACCATGTCCTCATCCTTTCTTGCAGGGCCTGACTGGGCGAGTTGGTGAGGGGTTTCACATCCACTTGACCCCCACCCTGTATGGGCATCTGTTCCTAGTCATAGGGACAGGGGTCATGACTCAGTAGGCTGTCATATCAGTGCAGTGACTCACAAGCAGCATTAAAACAAAACTAGACCAGAATCCTTTTAGGAGGTTATATGTCTATCCCTAGATGTTGGGTTGAAGTGTGAGATTGATTTTTCTATTTACTGGGAGTGCTGCTCAGTGACTCAGGAACCCAGTCTGAGCTCCTGATGGAATGCTTGTCTGGAGGTGGTGGCATTTTGGGGATCCTGTCTGGGTTCCAAGTTCTTTGAGTCTCCCCGAGGAGTTGTCTGTCCCAAGGTGTGATATGAGTACCTGTGTGTGTACTAGTGTGAACCCCAAACTGTGTCTTTGTGCCAGCATGTCCAAGTCTGTGTGTGTAAGGGAATGTGGACTGGTGGCTCAGAGGCCCTTTCAGAGCTCTGTGTGCATTTTCTCTGAGGGTGACTAGTGGTTAGGACACTTACTACCTGACTTTGTGGCGATTCTTTTTAATATGTGGCTAGCCAACATTTTTTTTTTTTAGAGACAGAGTCTCAATTTATCGCCCTCGGTAGAGTGCTGTGGCGTCACACAGCTCACAGCAACCTCCAACTCCTGGGCTTAAGTGATTCTCTTGCCTCAGCCTCCTGAGTAGCTGGGACTACAGGCGCCCACCACAAC